AGTCTGTGTCCAAAGCGTTGAGTTCTTCCCTCAGAATCTGTTGTTTGTCTTTGTTTTGAGACAAATAATAGACGACATGAGAGAGCGAAGCGCTGGTCGTGTCGTAACCGGCGATGAAAAACGTAAATCCCTGAGCCGTTAACTCAGTATCGCTTAAAGACTTTATTGTCTTTTTGTTGGAATTTTCAGCCGAGTTTTGTATCACTTTTTTATTCTTGTTATTCGAATCAAAGTTTCTGTCATGTCTCTCGCTATCAATCATTAATTGTATGAAATCTAATCTCTTTTTGCCTAAAAATTAATATATATGTCAATTACTAATAATATACATGTATAAACATAATTTTAATTTACCCTCATTTGTCGATATCTTGCGTTCATTGACTATATCTTTGACCAACGAATCAAAAAATTTAATAGCGTTTGTGTTAAACGGTTCCAGACGTAAGAGTCGGGCAATCGGTGGCAAAAGTGCTGATACGGCATAATTCAGGTTTGAGTTAACGGACAGTATTTTCTTAGCGTTGACAACAATGGGATGATTGGGATTATTAATGGACTCAACATTTATACCGTAAGCGCAGGCACTGATCACATCCATCGCGAAAGCGCTAAAATATTTGCACATATCTATTGTTTCGCCTACAAAACAATTAATGCAAGGTTGTTTAGTTGATAAAACAAATTTGAATATTCCGATTAATTATGTTCAATATCTTTAAAACAAAATTTACCGTTTTTGGCAAACGTATTTAAAGTGACCACAAACTGGTCAGCGATTCCTTCAATGCTGGCCATCATTGATATCAACTTTCCTGTAGTGAAGGCAGGGGTGACGACAGAGCGGACTCGTCTCCAATTGTGGTCGCCTTTCATCAGGAATAACGAGGAAGTGATGTATGTTTTGCCGTAATTCATGTCATATTTGTTCGGAAATGTGTGGAAATCCTTGACAGCGATATCTCTGATGAGTTCCGGTTCGTTGATTGTGAGCCACTTATTGGTGAACATATAGGAGCCGTAGAGTCGGCCGTATTTTCTGCTTTTCTCCGATGAAATGTCAACAAATTTTTGACGCAACGCCCGAACGGACACATAATTGGGTCCTTTCACTCCATGTCGGGCCCAATACGTGAACCGGTGTTTTAGATAACTAGGTATTAAATAAATAATGTTGATTGTTCATAGTGGGAACTGGACACTTGCTCGATAGACACTTGTTAAAAAAATTTTAATAACTATTTTACTATTATAATTAATATAAAACAAAAGCATTTTTATGTTTAGTTTAAGAATACTATTGTTTAATCTATAATTGTTAGTTTAACACTGAAAAATTATTAAATTTTAATTATTTTACTTACTATTATAAAATAGTATACTTTTATTAAAATATTTGTCATAAAAATTAACAATTTTGTAATAAATTTAATATGTATTAGTAATATTTTATATTATGTAATGTAATGTATTTTATATTAGTAATATTTTATATTATATTATGTAGTGTACACTTTATATTAAGTAAATAACTATAACATCAAAAAATTTTGAGTAAATGTCTTTGAGCAAATGGCATATCCAAGTTATCACAAATTATTATAATAATTGATTTTACCAAGTGGGTCGTTCCTACCCTACAGCGGGTTAGCATAAATGTGTAACCCATGTCAAATTAAATACTATCAATGTATTTTACTAGTTTTTATGTGGATTGGGTTGTTTGTGCCATAACATATGTAAATATTATCTGTTAACATGATTCATAAATATACATCCCTTGACCATACGTTACACATACATAACATTGTATATACTAATTCGCAGATGGATAGAAACGACCCACATGGTAAATTTACTTATTATAATTATTTGTGATATCTTGGATAAGACATTTATATGGCTTTTTTCATATAAAAATACATGGTCTAATTATTCATTGGTATTAAGTTATACTTACGTTACTAATAGCGCTATAATTGCTATTAAAAATGACAACAAATATATTAATTCAATCATTAGATCAAAAATATTAAAAACCCTTATTATAAACAAAACTATAGTTATTATCCTAAAAACTTAGACAGAAAATAAAAGTACATGTTAATTCAATTTAATAATAAAATGTTAAGTGCTTTATAAATTAATCCGACAGACTTTCATTAAACTCACTTGAACTATGACAATTAAATTATCAAGGATTGGTTTTGCAATAATAAAATAAACACAATTATATAAATATTTTCATGATCAGTATTATTCACAATAAAGCAGTATTGGTTTCGACATTTACAAAATTATAATATTAACGAAAACATATAATAGTGGTTATCATTAGTGACAAATGAATGATCTAACAAAATTTAATTAAATTCAATATTAATTTAGTAAATTATTTACTATTTCTACTAAAATTTTTACAACTAGAGTATTGGAATAAACTTCAGTTTATTAAATTGTATATTGTATATTTATTTTATTATTTTATAAATTATTTATTTTCTCCTTTTGCATGGAATCGGATGCGCCGATCACTCCAATCATATTAGTCGCCTTAACTCAGGACATGTCAACATTATTACACAAAAATACTTTAATAGAAATAACATTAATACATACATGTATAAATCTACTAACATTATTTAATATATAAGTATAAATAATTAAATAAATAATTTATACAACAAACACAAGTATAATTCTAAAAATACTTTGTTAATTATCACTCAATCATTGCCTTTTGGCAAACATTTTGCCCAACGTGTGTGTGGCAGGAATGGGCGCCGACTGCTGTCCGCCCATAATCTCCAAAATGTATTCATATTTTGCAGCAAAATATTCAAAGAAAAAGCGGCACTCGTTTTGCCGGATGTGTGACAACACGTGCCGACAATTTGCATCATTTGCCACATAATACTAGTCTATAGTAGACTTGCAAAGAGGGAATCCCTTCATTTTCCCTTTCCCTCTGAGGGAAATGAAGGGAAAGGGAATTGAAAATGAGTTGAAGGGAATCCCTCTCACACATAGAGGGAATCCCTCTAACAGAAATTCCCTTCATTTCCCTCAGAGGGAAAGGGAAAATGAAGGGAATCTCTCTTAAAATGAAATCCAGTTACAGATAAAGTATTGTTTTTGTGCCAAATTTGTTCAATAAATGTATATAAACTGTATATTATTGTCTGTAAAGCAGTATATTTTGTATATCAGTGTATTATAAACGCAATGCACAGTATTTGAAGGGAATGTGAAAGGAAGAGGGAAATGAACGGAAGGGATTCCCTCTTCCCTGCAGATGAAGGGAAAGGGATTCCCTCTTTTTATGATTGAAGGGAAGAGGGAAGGGAATTGAAAAATACGAAAAGTTGCAAGTCTAGTCTATAGACCACTCGCACTGTTTGTCCAGCACTCGACCGCAGTCGAACCGGTCGAGCGGGTCATCCGATCCCAACCTCAATAGTAATTCTTGTAGTTTTGTCACACATGTGTTGATATCTGGGTCAAATAAAAAAATTGCATTATAAATTGTTCAAAAAAATTTTATCATTATATAATTGTAAAAATAATTTTAACCAATACTTACAAACAGTGATCTAGATCAAAATTAAATATCTGTTGGCCAATTTTGGACACACTGGAATTTACTTAGGGTGACTTTGGAAAAACAATCTGTATTTATAATCGTTGATAAAATTTTATAAAATCATTTTAAAAGCAAACTTTACAAAATAAAAACATATTTAAATACGGAAGTAAATAAACATAAGGTGCACAGACCAATTAACCTTAATTACAATTCTGAAATAAACGTAATAATTACTATAAATATAAAACATAATAATAATTGTTTAATCATATTTAAAAATGTAAATTTATGTAATCTACACGTTAAGATTATCAATAAACATTTATTTATTTATAAACAAATTGTTATGATTTTAAATTAAAAATTATGTCAAATATGCGTACAAACTATTGGCCGTCGCGTGGATTACAGCCCAACGACAGCTCATTCACGACAACACGTGTTCCCGAACTCAATGGCAAAGCAGTTATGACTTCNCAGCCCAACGACAGCTCATTCACGACAACACGTGTTCCCGAACTCAATGGCAAAGCAGTTATGACTTCATTGTTGTCGGCGCCGGAACTGCCGGTGCGGTTGTGGCCAACAAACTGAGCGAAAATAAATTGACCATGGTGTTATTATTAGAGGCGGGCGGATCGTTAAATGCTATTTTAAATGACATACCATATGCAATATTTGACCAAACATTAAACATTACTGCTAGTGATTGGGTTTATTATAACGAGCCAAACAAACTGTATGGCAAACAGTACGCCGGGGGACGGGTTAAAGAAGTGACCGGTAAGACATTGGGCGGCAGTTCGTCGCACAACGGCATGGGTTTTAATCGGGGTAATCGTCGCGGTACTTACGCGGCAGACTTACGGCGCCGTCGGTTGGAGTTATAGGGATGTGTTGCCGGTGTTCAGGGAGTGGCAGAATAATACCGATCCCCTGATTGTGGCTAATAATCCCGGATATCACGGAACTCACGGACCCATTCAAGTCTCTAGTCATAAACAATCGGATGAAATAATTACAAAAATTTCTAATACACTAAATGGATTGGGTTATAGAGAAACAGACATTAATGGCCCGATTCAGACCGGATATACGCAATCGCAACTGTTTATTAACTCGTCGGGCCTGAGGTCGGGAACGGGTACTATGTTTATAGACCCGAACCCATATCCAGATAACCTGCATATAGTGTGCAAAGCATTGGTCACTAAAATACTGTTCAATGGGTTGACAGCCATTGGCGTCGAGTTTATAGTGAATGACATCTCGTATACGGTTTATGCCAACAGAGAAGTCATTGTTTCCGCCGGTAATTATAATTATAAATCATTAAAATTATAAATTAATACTAAATAATACAGATATTTAGGTGCCATAAATACACCGCAATTATTGATGCTCTCAGGCGTGGGTCCGAAACAGCACTTGAATAGCCTTAATATATCGGTTGTTTTGGATTTACCGATTGGAAAGCATTACTCCAATCATCTGAATACTCCAATTATAACCCAATTAAAATTGCAATACATGTACCTAGCTAATAACGTACCTCAATTAAATATAGATGAATTGAAACAGCTGTATTATGAACATGGTGGACCATTGGCAAACATTGTCACATTAGTATTGTATTTAAACACACGTATAAACCGAGACAAAGAGTGGCCAAATGTGATGCTTGAATTTGGACACATCTCTAGTGTTATATACATTACCATTGGTTTAGTGCGGTTTAAAAGTTACGGCTCAATACGGCTCCAGTAAACCGACCCATTGTTGCCCCCATTGATTGACCCGAACTGGTATTCACAGCCCATTGACAGAGAAAATATGTTGGCTGCGGTGACCATGGTGTTTGAGATGTTAGAACAATCAACATTGGCACAATATTTACAATCTTTACCTTCATTTTCATCAATAGGTTGTCCCGACTGTCCGGACAAACAGTATTTGTATGAATGCGTTGAGGGATTGAAGTGTTTTATTAAATACAATACAAACTCTGGTGATCACCCGACGGGCACCTGTCGTATGGGTGCGATAGAGAGGTCGGACGTTGTGGTCGACCCCCAGTTGAGGGTTAAGGGGGCCAACAATCTAAGGGTTTGCGACGCCTCTGTGTTTCCCGTTATACCCAACGCTAACACCGTCTCCGCAGCGATACTCACGGGCTATAAATGCGCGCAAAATATTAAATCAGATTATAATTTATAAAATGTATTTTAAAAATATTTATAAAGTAAATTAATATACTGGATAATTAATTAAATAATACTTAATAGGTCTAACTATACCTGCGGGAAGTAACATCGAGATGCAGACATTTATCATACAGAGAGACCCGGAGTATTTTCTAGACCCTGATGAATTTATGCCCGAAAGATTAATCGATGTAAAGCACCCGCCGTTTGCGTACATACCCTTCGGGTGCGGCCCTCGACAGTGCGTTGGTATGAGGTTTGCCTTAAATGAGATGCGTTTATGTATTGCATAAGTATGAGTTTAGTCTCGCGCCTGGATTTCAGGTACAAATAATCTTATACTTAATTGTTTTAATTAAATTTTTATTTTTATGAATTAACAATAATTAACTATTCACTGAATTTGAAATAGTATTGTTTGTAACGTTATGTGTTTTTATACGGTAACTAACCCTGCTTCTGTTGTACAAAATGTGTTATTATAGTATATTACAATATTATTAATACATATATGCTATAAATGCTATATTGTTTCTATGGATACTGTTTTGCAAAATTAATATCAATATTATTTGAGACCGGATTATAATAGTATGGGAAAGGGTTCATAATATCCATCTCCACTGCCGGACAGTAAACTCTCAACGCTTCCCAGTTTTTACCTATTAATTGCAATTTATATTTTATATTTATTTAAATTAATTGTTATAAAACTTACCGTAAATGATAATCAATGCGATCAGTGAGTAGAGAAGTACACAAATTAGCACAATTGCAAGAACCTCGTACACCTTGGTTATTTCCATTATTTTATTATTATTAATTTGTTTAACTAATTTTAATTATAAATAATTTTTAATCGTTTCCAAACTCAAGCTCTTTGTAGTTAATAATGTATTAAATTATATTATAATTTTATAATAAATATTAACTACAAAAAATTATAAAATCATTTATTTTTATATTATTATATTCATTTTAAAATAATTAATGATTGACATTATATCATTGTATAAGCTTATTTAAAATACAATCCTTTTATAATATATGAACGAAAACTATTTGAAAAGATAATATGTTTTGCAATTAATATGTTATGATTTTAAAATTATAAATATAATATTCTGTGTCTTAAATGTTACGGCAATGTTATATCACTCGTTATAAAATTAATAGTCCATAAAAATATAAATTTATCAAATGATTTGCCAATTACTCTTTTATATGGTATTTAATTGCATGTATTCCTAATGCTATAAAAATAAATAATTATTATAAGAGTATTGTTTTTATGAGATTTAAATGTCAAGAATATATTGTACTGTTGTTAACATTAATGCGAGCAATTGGTTAAATAAATATGTGAACATATTTTATTGCTATATTTAACACACTTTTGAAATAATAAATAATTATTTGTTAATATCGAAAGTATTGCCTAAATATACAATGTTATTATTTTTATTGTAACAATCAATTCATTACTGACTTTTAGGAGGAGTTGACTATGTCTCCCGTTGGTCGGCCCGTTAGCTTATAAATTGTCCTTACGTAGAATTAAACGCTTAGTTTGAAAATAAAACTTGAAAATTCTATCTTGAATAATTTTTGAAATCGCAAAAATATAGTCATTTTAGTCTTAGCTTTGATAACAAAATATTGGTATGGATTGCATGTATAATGTTCTTTATACAATCATTTTGTGATAGTTTGACAACAGTCTTCAAGAAAGACATGGAGTCTGACAGCTCTACTGTGAGCTGTCAATGGGTTAACAAAAATCTTTAGATTTAAATGCATTCATGTTTAGAATAAATTTATTATTTATAAGTAATCATTTATTTAGATTTTGGCCATAATCATATTTTGTAATAAATACGAGTGATTTAGTTTACACGGTTAATTTGGCGAATCTATTGTATATTATTAATACTTTTCCCACATTTTGGTTCATGTCTTACAATTAATTTTCAAATAATGTGAACATTATTTTGTCAGATATTGGCGTCATTTTGCAGTACGTTTAAATCATATATAATTATTTTAAACAATTGTTATACAAATTAATGAGATTTAAATGTCAAGTAATATAAACTTTATAATACTCGTTGTCGCGCTATATTCAATGCATTTAATGCAACTTTTTAAATTATTTTAAATCTTTTTATACAACTATACAACCTATACATGTAAAGATGGGAATTACCTGAATATTACCAGACTTTCAAAATATATTAATTTGTTGTAATAAACATTTGAACAAGAACTCTGTCCGACCGGCGGTTTGTTTCGGTGCCCACTGGCTGCGGATGGTAGTGCACTTAACACGATAATTTTATGACCACCCATTCCCGAAATATAAAATTATTTTAGAACATATAATGTTAATCCATGGGAGATTTTAACACTTTTATTTCATGGATTGTGGGAAAACGGCTATATTTAGGTATAGGCAAGGGGATAAATTTTTGATCACATAATATGTCAGTTATTGACCGGACCCGATACCGTTCCATTCCCACATTCATAGATGGCGCTAGAGTTGCAAACACATGTATACCCGATTTTCTGGAAATCGGGAACTACCGGTGTCGGGACTTCTAATATTTTATAGGACTTCTAACTTGTATACGGATACCAAATATCAACTCTCTAGGCCATCCCATTTGCCCACAATCGTCGCCGTATTGTCAAATATTAACAAATATTAAATGGCTTATTAAATATTTATTGGATACCCTAAATTTAGTTATGATGCCTAAAGTGTGCCTATACATGTCTAGTTATGCCTCAAGAAGTAAGAAGAATATAGCTCTTTAATTGGCCGAACGCCAGCCAATTTTCGGTATTCCAAAAATTCTATTTCTACACATGTGCCATTTCCGGGTCAACTTTTGACCAAATTTTAACGCGGTTTTTTCTAGCACTATTCCCGATAAATGTAGGTCATAATGCACTTTACACTTTAATTTTATCATTTATCGTTCAGGAGATATGAATTTATTGGCTTTTTCGGCTTTCGGTCTAATATCTCAAAAGTTTCGACATAAAATTTTTAACCACTATTCTGATAGGAATAATGTGGTTTATAGGATCGTTAGGCCTCTCTCCTCTCGCTCTATGGGATTTAACATGGGATTACAGCTTAAGGCTATGGCTATACTTTAACATGGGATTCTTGAGTCTATGGGAAACTAACATGGGATTACAGCATAAGTCTATGGCTATATTTTAACATGGATAATGCTAAGTCTATGGCAATGCTAATCCTATAGACAATGTTAAGTCTACGACATAGGAATAACATGGGTAATGCTAAGTCTGTGGGTAGTGCTAATCCTATGAGCAATGCTAAGTCTACGACATAGGAATAACATGGGTAATGCTAAGTCTATGGACAATGTTAACTCAATGAGACTAATGCTAATCCTATGGACTAATGTTAAGTCTATGGACAATGCTAAGTTTATGGGTTGTGTTAATCTTATGGACTCTTATTGAATGTGTAGATAATGCTAATCTATTCGTTGAGCATTACCCAAATAGTGTTTAACGTATAGCATCGCTGTGTGATCCTTGTTTCTTACTATTCCCTTCCTATTCTACTTTTTGGTCATACAAACGAATCCGTTGTCAAAACCCTGGTAGGTCAAAAAAATGCGTTAGGGTCAATATGACAGGGTCAGGGTATGTTATGTTAGGGTCAGTATACTAACGCATCCCAAACCGCCGAGAAAGATTGTATGGTATACTAACGCATCCCAAACCGCCGGGAATAAACATTTGAAAAATATTATTACTAATTTAAAAATGTCAATTGACTCTGGCCCTATAATAAATTAAGTAGTAAAACCGCTAAATGAATGTTTTCGTTTATATTAATAATATTACCCAAAACCCTCCAGGCGAGATCTTGATCATATTGTAGATCGGTACCCTATCTATATTATTAGAAGATGAGATCAGACGTGTGGTGAAAACGGATATAGTAATTAAATAATGAAAACCCATATACAGTGCAACCAAACTTGGGGAAACTTCTCTTGGGGAAACACCTCTTCATAAGAAAAGGTGTTGCAATTTATTTTGGATTTAATATGCTTATAATGTTAAAATGACCTTTTTTATAGAAACTTTTTTTGGGGAAATACCTCCCCATAAGAAACTGATATATAGAAATTAATATAAATCTTCCACTACCGATAAGAAACAAATATAATCATAAGGGGTGGTTGTCAAAGTACGTGCGCACTTGGGGGGAGGGGGTGTTGGCCAAAACGAACTTTTGCGAACTAAGGGGAGGGGGTATAGAGACTTTTATCCGTATTCAAAGATGTAAAATAAAGCATCAACTCATGCTCTATGTTTAGTAAATTTAAATTCTCATTTATAGACAACTACTTCAAGAGTTAGAACTCTTAATAATAGAGTCCCATATTTATCAGACTACCCTGATAAATTGACTTACTAGTATAACTTTAAGATAATGTATAGTCAATAGTAACACAACCTGTCAAAAAGGGTTCAGGACTCACGATCAGATGTCATAGTTTATAAATTTAAGCCAATAGCAGATGCGAATCTCTAAACCAGTTTCTACGAGTTCTAACTCTAACTCAATTTTGTCTTTGAATACGAGTATTGATGAACGTTCGCATCTTTAATTATTTGATTAATTTAAGAGATTAATTTTTATCAACGTTAATCTTTTAATAACAACTACATATATCTAGCAACAATTTCTATTAATAACAGCTTTTATTCAAATTGAAAACAAATATATTACTTTTGATTGTAAATAATTTTTTCGGGGGGAGAAAAGGGGTTAATAGTGACTTGCGAACGTACTTTTTTTTAATGACTACATGCGAACAAGTGCAAACATAAGGGGAGAGGGGGTCTAAATTTTCTCAAACGTGCGCACGTACTTTGTGAACGACGCCTAAGCACATGATATGTAAAATATTCAAAATATTATTAAACCTAAAATTTTAAACAAACAATAAGACATTTTTATTTAACGTTTCATTAAATATTGTAAAAGTTGTGATAAGCAGTTTATTCATTCTGTATTCATTTGATTAATGATTTCTTATAACGATCCTATAAACCACATTATTCATATCAGAATAGTGGTAAAAATGGACAATCCATTACAAAAATGGACATCTGGTAACCCTAAATTGTGAATCACAATTAATGAATAATTGTAAGGATAGGATAGTAATTATGTGAAAACCAAAAATTATTTTGCTTATATTTCAAGTCAATTTACATTATGAAATATGTTTTTAAATCGTGCAATAAGATATTTATGCGATAACATTTACAGTTTAATTTCTAACTTAAAATTTTAATTATTTTTTACATTGGTTTCTTTTATATTTTTCGTGTGATAAAATAAATTATTTTTAAAAATTTGTTTGGATATTGTCTTAATATTTAACTAACATTTTAAATAATTATTTAAACATGTTTAATATTATAAAAGATTTAATACGGTTTAAATGGTTTTAATATTATAACTAAAGCGTAGAAATATATGTATTTATAAGTGATCAAATATGTTATATAATATTTACTAAAAAGTGGGTAAATATTTGCTTAAATATTTTGTTATAATTTTTGAAAATTTACTTATAAACACATATTCATGAATTCTGTGGGCATTGTAGCATATTATTGTTAGTTATTTTATATTAAAAGGTCATTATTTGTTAAAATAGATGCTTAAAAGTCTAATTATATTTGAAAAATATATAATTTAACTGAATTAAAGTCGAGCCATATTATAATTTTAACTTTTCAGAACATTATGAGACACGTGGAGAAAATATATAATGTCATTGTCAAATAAATTATCAAAGCATTTTTATTAATTATATATTTTGCTCATTTTTATAATGAATGCAAACTTTTTTGAGTAGATTATATTGTTTTTCTCGCCAAAAACACATGTTTTTCAAGTAAAAGCCAGATATTTAAATATA